ATCCTGCCAAGCAGGAAAGTCCCTGGTGAGACTAAGCCGTGCTCTTCTCCAGTCAGGGGCACTCATCCTCCTCTTTGTCCTGTCAGTCCTCTGAGCATCCTGAGCTCCACAGTCTCCTGGGCAGTAAGGGCAAGGCTGCCCTTGACCTTTACATCATTCAACAGTTCTTCCTCATTTGTGAGTAGCAGGTCTAAGAGATCCTCTTTTCTAGGCCATTCATGCATTGCCTGCATGAAGAATTTGCTTCCATAGGCCCCAGACATGTCCTGTTTTGCTTTTGCCAGCCATATTCCTCCTTCAGTAGATACTGAGGTGGTACCAGGTAAGAACCAGGGCTTGTGACTACAAGGATTTCCCCAACTGCCTGACAAAGGTGTCATCTGCCTCCTCTTCTTGAGCAGGAGATGTGTAGCAGCCACCTAAGTACACCACCACCTGCGCCACAGGGGAAGTGTGAGAGCCTCCCCTGGCATGCTGCTCCCCCGTGCATACCTCTTCTACCCTTGTGACATCCCTGCTCTTCAGTCTGTGGTGACCTCCCCCTCCATACCTACTTTAAACTCCTCCTTCCCAGTTCTGCAGGGATTTGGAAAGACACTCTTGCCTCCGCTAGCCAGGCACATTCCACCCCTGACCAGTCTCTTCACTGTTCCTCAAAGGTCGTCCTGGTACAGAAGCCAAAGCTGTGCAGTGTTGCTGCAGCCTCCTACTGCCATGCCCGCGGCCCAAATGAGCTCTTCCACATGAGGGAGAGGGAGTCTCTTCTGACTTCTCTGTCATGCTTTGCATCTCACTCTTAGAAAATGTAGGTTATTAGGGGTTCTGAGTCAGATGGAACAAGGTCCCCTCAGGCGACATGTCCTTCCAGCCCCGTGGGACCAACTCAGATTCCGGATATATTCCTGTGTAGAGGCTTTTTCTGCCCAGACTCACTTACCAGCATAATTCATAGACTCACAGAATCATAGAAGAGTTTGTGTTGGAAGGGAGATTGAAAGACCATCTAGTCCGAGCCTCCTGCTTTGAGTGGTGACATCTCTCACTAGATCAGGTTGCTCAGAGCCCCATCGAACCTTGAACATTTCCGATTATGGGACTTCCTCAACTTCTCGGGTCAATTTGATCTAGTGTCTCAAAACGCTCATCAGAAAAAAATGTCTTCCTTTAAAGCAGTCTAAATTTGCCTTCTTAAGTTTAAAGCCATTGCCCTTTGTCACTACACACCCTCCAAAAACTCCTTTCCCTGTCTCTTTTATAAGCTTCCCTTAAAGAATTGAAAGGCTGCAAGGTTTCCCCAGAGCCTTCTCCTTTCCAGGCTGAACAACCCCACCTCTTCATAGGAGAGGTGCTCCATCCCTCTCATCACTTTCATGGCCTTCCCTGGACCCACTCTAACAGTCTCTTCCCACAGTCACTGAAGAGACATCAGCTCCCACATGGGAATTACCCCTCCCCAAAGCAGATGTGCATGACAAGTGGAATGACTCCTCTTGCTGGAGACACTGATCCTGCCCTTGACCCATGGTGGCCTCTGAACTCCCCAGACAGCAGAAGCTCACAGCAGGGCCAGCCTGCCTGGTCACATCTCCATGGCTTGCTTCATCATGTGATCAGGAGTGAACCCACAGTCTGTCCTGCCAGTGCCTACAAGCACCTCCATCCCATGCCTAAAGCCCACATCCATGTCCACAGTACTCAGGGACAGAGACAGAGCAGGGAAAGGGCTTTTTTGGGGTGAATGGGCTCAAGCTGGGCACCTTACTCTCGTCACCTGCATCTCCTGCTCTCACAAAGCACAGATCGGTCTTCTCTGAGCTACACAGTGCCCTTGGAAACAGAGCTTGGAGAAGATGACTCTCTGCAGTCCAGCACCTGTGTGCTCAGTGTATAACGCTCTCTCTGGCTGTCTTGAGTCTTCTCAGCCAACTCTGAATGAATAGAGGTCTAGATTTGTGTGTGTGTCTGCATGTGCACATATTTTGTGTCTGTGTGTGTTGTCTAAGACAGCCGTTTGGTCCACTCTGAGTCTCCTATAGTGGATTCCTCCAGCATGTGAGGTGAGTCCTCTGCTCAGGTTGACATTTCTTGCTCCGGAAATGCTCGGGCCTCTCATCCTGTCATGCAAAAGCTGTCTTCACTGCAGAATGTACCTGGCATCAAGCAGGAAATTAAAAGGAAATGATTCCGGAAGCTGAAACACAGCCCATAGCATTAGTTGGGATGTTTTGCATTCAGGATGAGCTTGTCAGATAATAAGCACCTCTACAAGGGATGCCTCTGTCAGCCTGGGGCAGTAAAGGTCCGGCATAAAAGCCAGCAGAGCTCCTTGCTCTCTCATCCACTTCTCTTGCCTCCTTCTCCTTGAGAACCAGGTGAGTCTGAGGTCCCTTCTCCTTCTCTGCTTTCTCACAAAGGAGGTCTCACTTCAGTGAACCTGTGAGCTGAAACCGGTTTGGTTCTATACCAGATCATGGGGCTGTTTGTCATGGGAGAGGGGAGTGGGGGGAGGTTCAGTTTGGATAGAAACTGGAACGGTACTGAGGTGGCTTCTGTACTCGGGGGTAGAGAGTAGCCACAGAGCAGCTGGTGGCTCTTTTTGGACTCTAACAGGATGAAGTCAATAAGACCTAATACATCTCTACACGGCCTCATACTGCAGTGACAAATTGCTCATCAGGCATCCCCGTGTATTTCTTCCTTCCTGATCTCTCTCCCAGGTGCAACTGACATCCCAAGACATGTCCTGCTGTGACCAGTGCCAGCCCTGCGAGCCCTGCTGCCAGCCCTGCGGCCCGACCCCGCTGGCCAACAGCTGCAATGAGCCCTGTGTCAGGCAGTGCCAGAACTCCACCATCGTCATCCAGCCCTCCCCCGTGGTGGTGACCCTGCCCGGCCCCATCCTCAGCTCCTTCCCACAGAACACCGTGGTGGGCTCCTCCACCTCCGCTGCCGTTGGCAGCATCCTCAGCTGTGACGGAGTGCCCATCAACTCTGGGGGCTTTGACCTCTCCTGCATTACCAGCCGCTACTGTGGCAGAAGGTGCCCCCCTTGCTAAAGCCACTGGTGACAGCCCGCACAAGGACCCCAGGAACCCAGAAGCTCCTGCTGGACTGAGGACAGAGCTCCTGGCCAGTGATTTCAGGGAGGCTGAGCATCCTTCCAAGGGAGGGCAGCTGTGCCTCTCTGAAAACATGGCCAAAGTCTATCTCCCCTGCCTTCTACTCCTTCCCATCTCTTTCTTCTCTTCTGTTCTTCTGGGCTGTAAGACCCCCAAAGATGAGCTGCAGGATCTACTGGCCCCTCTCCCTCTGTGCTGATGGATCGCTTCTGGGATCTCCACCGTGGCCAATGGGCGCAGACATTTGGCAGCTGCTGGTGCTCTCCCTGCTCTGGCTGCATCCTCTCCAAGTGAACTCATTTCCCTCTTCAGAGTCATTAAACCTTTCTGCATCCCAGTCTCTGTCTCCACATCATTCTTTGGCTGATGGACATTGTATCGACTTGTAGAGGATGAAAGGCATTGGCATGACCAGTGAGGGATCGGTTGGAGTTGCAGGCAGATGTTTCATCATGCCCCAAAGAACGGTAGGATGGGACACATGGCAGTGTTTCTTGGAGGTGAGGAAGACATCCCTGGCTCCCCCACAGTCAGTGGTGATCAGGCTCTGCCTTCTGACATCTCTGCTCAGACACAGGCCTTTAGCCTCAGAGCAGGTCGTGCAGAAAGGAAACTTGTCCACTGCTATCCCCTAGAGAGGAGCCCAATGCTGCTGGAGGCTCTGAGAGGTCAGTAGCTCACAAGTTTGTGCAGAAGGGAGTTTTTCATGCTTTAGTGCTGGGAGAAGTGCAGTCAAAAGATGTCTGCAAAGGATGCAGGAGCGAGGATGATGTGGGAAAACTCCTTTAAAACAGCCCCAGAAATTATCTTTCTCTTCCCACCTCTCCCTAGAAAGAGGGGGTCTGACCAGCACTCGAGGGCAAGGATAGCAATGACAGGTCACTTCTACACCCTCCATCCCCCAGAAGATAACTGCTTACACAGTTCAAAGGGCTAACATGACCCTAAGGTTGATGAAATCAGCCTCTGCAGCCCTCACAGCAGAGCCCTCCTGTCACTCACACATCCCCAGCTCCCACCAGACAGGGCACCCCAAGGACAGCAGCCAGTGCCCAAGCCCCCATGGTCCATCGGTGCTGCCTGGCCTTCCCGCAGGCATGAGGCAGCTCTCCCCAAGGCCGGGTCTTCTCCTGGCAGGCCCATGAGGTAGGGCATGAGAAGGGCTCCAAGGACCAGCAGAGTGCACTGGGGAGGGCAGGTCCTCTGGATCCCAGCTCATGGTGACACAGCTACAGGAGAGTCCTCAAGGTGGATCAGACTGTTATCCACTACTGTAATAATCATGCAATTCCAAGAAGGAGTGTTGCACCGTGATATGTTTTTTATGTTTTACATCTATCTTTGACCTCTGATGGACACATCCCGCAGCAGGTACTCTTAAGACACAGGCCTGCAGGAAAACCTGAAGCAGCAATGTGCAGCAGGCAACAACAGAAAGAAAAAAAACTAGCAGCAAGGAACCATTGACCAAACAGCCACAACCTCCTGCATTGCCTGTCCCCTCAGCAGAGTTAATGGGCAGAACAATCATGTGACCTGTGGTGAAATCAAGAGGACCTGAGACTCTGCCACCACCTGCTCCTTCCTCTCAAACCACTGACACTGTCCCCTCCTGGAAGAAGATTTTGACCTGCAGATCCCTGGGTGCCCAGGGGAAGCAGAGGTGCCAGGGGAGAGCTGAGGGCCCCTTCCCCCAAGCTCAGCCTTGCACACACACAGCCCCTCCCTCCCCTGGGTTCTTGCCCAGCCAAGGAACCTCCCTGCACCAGGGTGTCTGGCACAGCACAGAGGTACAGGGCGCTGTCAGAGACCTCGACTTCCTCCAGCTGCAGGACGCTGTATTTCCCTGTGGTGTTCAGCAACGTGGTGAGACGGCCGCTCTGCCTGGGGCCAGCTGCTGCCTGATACGAGAGCAGCTGGGGAGCTTGGCCTTTCCTCTGCTGGTACCA